GTTGGCAAAACAAAGCTAACAGTCCTGCAATACAGGAAGTCGCCTGAGTGCGAATGTTTCCCACAACCGTTTTCCCAAAGAAACGCCAGAGGGTTTACAGCAGAAGAGAGGATTCTTCCTTTATAGAGATCCAGTTCTAGCCTTCAGACTGTTCAGAGTCTGAAGCAGCAAGGCGTAGTATCTCAGAAGAGGTACTTTTCAGGAACCAGGAAGATCTCTGTAATCATACTATAACAGCCAGTCTAGTTTTCCATGAACATTAATAAGACGTGGCCTCAGCCAAATTAAAGATAATCAACTCCAGCGTTGGAAGAATCAGTCTGACGTGTTGACAGGTTAACTGATGAACTCTAGTTTGAACCCATACACTGCAAAGTTACACTGCAAAGAACGTCTGATAAATAAGGTACTGAAAATAGCTGTAATTTGAGCAATAGCAGAAGGCAGACTTTAGCAAACTCTGTTCTTTAATGGTCATGAGTATAAATAGTATAAATAAGAGCCAGTGGGACTTTTATCCGGCTCTAAGATGTAGGCATATTGTGGGCACAGAATTCTCTGGAGGGACCGAGGAGGGTGGGAAGGAGGGGGGTGGTGTTTGGATGCAAAAATTCAAAAGTTAAAAATTTGGTTTAGTTGGTTTAGTTATTTACAATAGTCAGCGATTGACTGGCATTTGCCCAACCTTGGGGTCAGCCAAGCCCATGAGCTGGTGTGCCAAGTCTACCCTGCCCCCCCGGGGAGAATGGGCAAAAACAACCCATAAACTTAGACCAGAAAGGGGACCGCCCTCATTTATGAAACTTCACGTAAATTTCATTACAAAAAAATGTATATACTCCTAAAAAGAAAAAATACGCGTGTAAATCTGGATTTATTCACTGTCTGCATATACTGCTGTATGCTGTACTGCTGTGCATTTGATATTTATTTGATTTGAGTTGCTCATATCGCAATGTCAGTGCAGTCAATTGTCCCAGTTACATTAACAAAACTGGACATCACTGCAAATGTAGTTTTTACATTTGCCTGTTCTTCCACAGCACAGGGAAACATATATTTATTGTAAAACAGGCAAAGTGCAAGGACATTACACACAGAGTGCAAACAGTAAACGAATGAGTAAAAATAATCTTGGTGGTCCATGAAAACTCGCGTCTAATCCTTCCATTTACGTGGTTACTAACAAGAATGCCATTATGCCATGTCATATTCTTGTGATTATAGACTTTTTTTATACGTCAATACATGAATGCGAGTGTCTGACATCTAATTTGCATTTAATGCAACTAGTGACAATTTCAGATATTTTTAGCTGATGGGAAGAGGTGACAAGATGTAGTATTTGAAATAGCAAATTACACAAATATGTAGTCTTTGGCTTGCACAAATAATCCTGGTAGAATAGAATAAAATAAGTTATTGAAATATTAACAAATAAAATACATTCCAGTTCACATTTTCGATTTACAGTTTTTCACGTGAAGACCCAGGTTGGTGGTATGAATTGTTGGCATGCGGCATGGTGACTAAGCTGGTTTACCTGCAGTTCCTTTAAAATGGGTGCCACATTTTTTCGATTTGTCCAAAATGTTGCATACAGTACATCTCCTTCCAAGTTCCCGTAAATATGCACATTCCCCCAAGAAGTTTGGTTTGATAAATTTGGGATTTCACGTAAAAAGTTGCATACACACATTTTGCGTGTCTCTTTGTGTATACACAACTTTGAAGGAAAGGCCCAAAATCCAAAATCCTGATACACAATCACCTGGGAATGAGCCTGCAAGGAAGTCCCGCCAAGTTTATGATTTGGCCACACGATAGATTCACAACAGTGACAAGGCAAAAGGAAGCATCTGGCTTTTATGATACAGAGTCAGAAACCAAATCCCCTTAAGAGTCCAATGACTGAGTCATCAAGATACATGCGACTCCACGTACGAGTGATGTCTGACGCTCAAGTAGGTTGTTTAGCTCTGGTGCAAAGGTTTTGTTTGCCTAGAATAATATAATTGACAGTTCTGCTTCTGACTGTACATTAGCAAGGTTTGTGTACAGGGATAACCTCGTGAGTGTAACACTCAAGGTGTCACACTTGTGATACTCAAGGTGTCACTCAAGGCGTTACACTTGTGAGTGCACCACTCAAGCAATCGTGCCATCATCATAGTGCGATATGTATGGCACAAGGCGCATGTTTTTGTCTTTGAGGTGACTGAATTTTGCGGTGGTGTGATGTGCGAATTCTCCAACTTCTGTGTACTTTGGACACCTCCTTTTTATACAGAAAACATCTGCCACACCATCCACCAACTATTCCTAGGTGTGACATCAAAGTAATGCTAAGCCTCACATGAAATTCACTCCAAGCACAACTCAAGCAGATGGCTACGGGGAAGGAAAAAAAAAAAACAAACCAGCATCACTTGCTCCCTGTACGAGATCTGCACCCATCTGCTTATGCAGAAACTACGGAAACGGGGGGGCAGATAGATCACCTGGCTGGCGATGTCTAAATGCTCAGAAAAGTCACCTGCGGTGAGCACTCCCCCACTCGCCGGGAGGGATCGCGAGGCCGAGGGCGAGGCCCTGTCAATATTTGCGAAAACGACAAGCGGCCGATGGGCGCTAAGTCAAGCAGCGAGACCCATTAAAACACACAGCCAATCAGCAGAGTAAGGTGGTAAAACCTGCTTGTCCGCATGTGTGGTGGATTACCTCAAGCTGTGGGCGGGGAGGGACTCCGGATACTCGTCACAACGACAGCACCACCCATGGGAGCCCCATTTTTCCTGACCTACAGTTCTTTCCCTTCAAAGCAAAAGCTCCTTTACATTCCAAAATGTTGATGTTTCATGGGCTATTCACAGCATTAGAAATTAAAACTTAAAAGACGAAGAGAAAAAAATACCCTTTTCAAAGTTTCCACTAAAATTGGGAGCTTATGCTTGTAGCTCCGTTTGAGGGAATTGCTGTGTCTTTACAGCAGGATAGATGGTGTTAGACGGTGGTAGCGGTGTACAGTTGACCTAAATATAGCTGGGCACAGCTACGCAAAGCACTCAGTGCACCACAACGTTTAAATCTGGCACCCATCCCCAGAAAAAAGACAACAATGCGTCCCCCCACCCTCGCTGCTTCCTGTGATATATTGAATTTTTGTGGCACCCAGTGACTCCTCACAATGGACAGCTTCAGCTTCAGCTTCCCACTCTGCTTTACTACCTGCTGTCCAGACGCCGGTATGTTTACGTGTCCCGACTCCTCTGGGTTGGAGGAGGGGAAGCCGGAAACCCCGAGCTCACTTGGTATCATCTTTATTCCTTTGACTGTTTATCTCAGATTTGGGAAATGGGCCCTTTCCCTGCTCCTAGGTCCCAGCAGGGCTGGGTGTGAGGACAGAGAGAGTCAGCAAGGTTTCTGTGCCTTCAGAATTCTGGGAGGTCTCCAGTCCCACAGTCGCCAGAAAGCCCCCCTGCCCTGGCCTGAACGCACATACATGTACACACGACACATATACATGCACATACACACACAGTCCAAATATTCATATCTTTGTGAGGACCATCTATTCATTTCTATAGGAATAACCCTAATCCCAGCAATGACGACATTAATCCCTACCCAGCCCTAACCTTAACCATATGTAACCAAACGAAATACAAGGCATTTTCACATTTTTGATAGGAGTTAAAGACTTTTATAAAATTGAGTCTTTCCTTGTGGGAACCAAAAAATGTCCCCACAAGGTCAAAATAACAGGGTTTTATCACAATGTGACATTTGATCGTCACAATGTAATATATGCATAACAACACCCACCCCACCCCCCAAACACACACACACATGCACACACTTTTAGGGTAAACATATCCTTATGGGGACCGCTCATTCATTTCAATGGGAAAAATGCTAACGCTAACTATGACAACCTTAAGCAAGCAAATCAGTCCTAAGAGTGATAAACTCAAGAATGAAGATGCCACCAGTGCAGAATAATGTTGAACTACACATCCGCAATCGTGCCTTAGGGGCTTCAAATCAGAGATCTTGGCTGTTTGACATTAAATTTACTTACAGTAACTAGTCATATAATAAACATTTTTTTGCCCTGTATTGTTTTACACTTGATAGGTGTCAGGGTGCCAGTATTTCCCAGTGATTGTAAAGTATGGTTTGTTTCATGAGGGCTTTAAAAGCACGTGTATGTGGAACATTCCGAAACTGTGTGTCTGTGTGTGCGCGTGCGTGTGTCTGTGTGTGTGTGCGAGCGGGTTTACCTATCCTTATGGGGACATAATGTCCCCATAACGTGATAAATATCCATTTTTTTCCCTTATGGGGACCGGTTTCCTGGTCCCCATAAAGGAAAACTATATTTTATAAAAATCGGTGACTGCTATGAAAAAACTAAAAATGCAAAAACTCTTGTATTTTGTTAGGTTACTTATGGGTATGGTTAGGGCAGGGTAGGGGTTAAGGTGAATTTCTGTCCTATTTAGTGCGCAGAAACTCTGTGTTTGGACAGCCCAACCGAGACCACCAGTCGCATCCAACAGGAATGGGTAAGAGGCCTACCTGAATGCACACACACACACACACACAAACACACACCTGTATTAATATCTTTGTGGGGACCGTCTATTCATTTCTACGAGCATAATCCTAATCCAAACTATGACAACCCTAACCCCTACTTAGTGCTAACCGTAACCATAACTTACCAAAGAAAATACAAGACTTCTGGCATTTTTAGTTCTCTCACTGCAGTCACAGGTTATTATGAAAAAATGCTCCTCAAAATGTCAAAATAGCAGGTTTTTATCAGTCCCCGCAATGTAATATATACATGCCCCCCCCCCCCCCCCCCCCCACACACACACACACACACACACACACACACACACACTCTTTACCCTCAACACTCACATGTCCAAACCCCGGTACACCTGGCACGCTCAGCCTCCTCACGCTGGACCCTCCCCAGCGTCACTCACCAAATCCAGGAATGCCTCCTGAATGGATAGTTGTTCACATGCATCTTTTGCCTGTCCCTTCCTGCTCGAGCGCGGCCGGCCTTCATCGAGCGGCAGGGGGGGTTTTGTTCGTCGGCAGCGGGAGAGGGACAGTGGGATCTGCAGTCAGCTTGCCTTCTCCCCGCAGATGTCATATAAATGTCTTGCAGACGAAAGAGAGCGAGAGAGCAGCGGAGCAGAGCGCATATCCAGCCGGGGGGCCGTGCGGCTGTGCAGGGGAGTGGTGCGAACTCGGCGCAAGTCTGCCCCGAAACTCCACCAAGGGCGAAAAGTTGAAGTCCACTTTATGAAAAACGAGGAGCTGGAAGTCCGTAGAGGGTGGTGATCCAAACGGCGCCGACCGGAGGGAGCGTCAGTCCCGCAGCATGCACAGACAAGCGGGAGAAGCACTCCATGCAGAAACAGGCACACGCTGACAGAGACACGCGCGCGCTCTCTCACGCACACACATGCGCCACGCTAAGCCGCCGACTGCCGCCGTCAGGTAGGGACTCCCCACAGTTCGGCTGACCCTCACCGGCACGGCACTCTCCCTTTGCCGTTTCCCAGGTATTCTTCCTGCCAGAATCCCAAACTCTCTGCGGCACATCCGCATGGCCAGCACGCGTCCCGGGGGCTACCTGGCAGACCCGGGAGGGTGGGCGGGCAGCGGCGGCAGCAAAGCGGGCCCCATCCTACAGGCGGCGTGGCGTAGCACGGGATGTCCCCCCCACCTCACGCTTACGCCAGCTCCTCCATCCGCTGTCCAGATCCTCCAAGTATGGCAAACACAGCTATTGATCCTGCTACCACTGACAGCTCCTATTAATTCCTCACAGAGTCACACCCCCCCGCTCCCGGCGATCTCCTCTGCAGACGGTGCTGGCGGGGAAATGGGAGCGTGAGATTGGTCGGGAGAAAACATTCAGTGACCGCCGCCGCTCCCCGTCCAGGGATCAGGTCCTGCAGTGTGTCGGCTTTGCTCCCCCCTCCACACCCCCCCACCTTGTCCTCCACTTGTGCTCTGGTCCCTTTCCACCGTCCTGTCAGCGCCGTAGGTGCTGTCCGGCGAGGCTACCGTGGAACTGCAGAGAGGATTCCTGTCAGGCGGGGGGCTATTCAGTCTGAGCGCACACACACAGACCCGCCCGTAAACACGCACGCTCACAGACACTGGGCAAGCAGAGTGGCAGGCAGCTGTCACCTCACAGACCCCGAGACCCGCTCTCACTCACACACAGACACCAAACACTTTTTCAGTGACTGTTTCTACTCAGTCGCTTTTTTCTTTCTCTTTCTGTCCCTTTTGGTCCCTCTCTCTCTCTGTCGCTCTCACCATTAATCTCTCTCTCTTACTCTGTCTGTCTCTCTCTCTCTCTCTCTCTCTCTCTCTCCCTCTCCCTCGACTGTTAAACTAAGCAGATATGAGACTGCAGAACCGGCTCCAGGGTGAATATGTGTGTTTGTCTGTGTTCGCGTGGCCCTGGCATGTATGCAAATTTGTATGCGTGCGTGCCTCTGTATATGTGCATGTTTCTCAGGGGGCCCCTTAAGGTGGACAAGAAAAAGAAATGTTTATCCCTGGTGACAAGCCACAAAAAAACAGTAGCTTGCAACTGGTAACAGAAATTAAATCTTTTAAGAAAATAAGTTAGGAACACATTTGTGATGTTACCACGAGAAGGGGAAAAAAAAGTGAGGCACCAAAATGAGAAGACGACTAGGCTTATTCACCCATAGTGTGGGCTGTAGTGGTGATTGACAGCTGGTAAACTGTGACACATGACCCAGGAAGACCCCCAAGAAGCAGCCAACCGAGAAGAAAATGTCCGTTTGACGTTATCTTACAGCAGTGACATAGCAAAAGTAAATTTGCCATTTTTCTCCTTCGTTGAAGCCATTAAAACAGACCCTCTTTAAATGAATGAAATGGTTTGTTTACATAACTGAGAATGTCCCAGTCTTTATTTGGGGGTCTCTCTGTCTGGGTGTCTGTTTCTGCCCTTCATGACCATTTCTAGAATTTTCCAGAATCTGTATGTTTTCTAATCGTTTATAAGAGGTGGTAATTAGCCACAGATTCACACGGAAACCAGTTCTCAGTCAGAACCTGACGAGACCCAGCAGCAAGGGAACTTCTGTCTGTTTTTTTTGTTTGTTTTTTAACATTTTGCAGCTATGACCTTGACCTCGTCTGCATATCTGACATTTAGCGCTGAAGCTCACAGATCCGTTCCCACCGTCTCTCATCCTAAACGACCTCAAGACAAACCAGGCAGAGCACAGCACTTAGCGACAGCGGGAAAGATTAATGGGCAGGAAGACGCGGCCCCCTCCCGACACGGCCCCCGCGGCTGACGTCAGCAGCCCCCACCCTGCTGGATCCTCCACCCTATCGGCACGGTTCTCAGGTATCCGGCCGTGACCCGGTGCAGCGGCGTGGAGTTACAGCCCCCTCCGTCGGCGTCGTGTCGCCTGTGCTCGGCAAATGCAGGGGCTCCGATTAATGAGCGAACAGCAAGGGGGGGGTTGGGGTGGGGTGGGGTGGGGGGAGGTATATCAGTGTATCTCATTATAGGCGGCAGGCAGCAGTGACTGCTGTGTGAAATTAAACATTAGAGGAAAGTGGACTGTTTCTGTTGGCTGATTTACGCCTCTTAGGGGACACGCTGTTTCACTTCACACTTCATTAAAATGATTCCGGAGACAAACAATGGACTTTTTAACGTGATTAGCACCGAGGGTCTCGCCCCCACACCCCCACGGTGCCTCACTGCTGTCCGAAGACTTCCCTTCTGTGGTGCTTGCCCGGACCTCGGGTTTGAAAACAGGATTCGGTTCCAGGCCGTTACACACGTCCGGGTCGGGCCCGACGTCACGGGCCTCTTGGCTTTAGCCAAAACAAACGCTCACTCGCCCCGCTCCCCCCTGCGGGACGTTATGGCTTCTCGTGTCGGCACAGGGTGTACACGCCGCCACTGACGAGTGTGCCTGTGCATGAATAAACATGCGCACGCACACAAATGCAGACTCACGGGCCCACACACACAGACACAGGCACGCCGGGTGCCACGGAGACACCGTCTGATTCACAGTTCAGCACACAGCTGATTCAGGCAAGCGTACAGGAGCATGTGCCGTAAAATCACATTGGGCTGCGTAACGAGATTTGGAGCAGATTTATTAGAGAGAGAAAAAAATCAGAGCTGATGGGGGAAAAAAGGGTCAGATGGGAATTAAAGATGCGGCAGGGATTGGCGGCCGCGATGATCAGCCGGCAAGTAGAAGGAAGATGCAATTAAAAGTCAGGGTCACCGAAGCCAGTGGCTTTGTCCACATGTATATGTGTGTGTGTGTGTGTGTGTGTGTGTGTGCCTATGAGTGCGTCACGGAGCCCCGACGGACAGACTGCGAGGCTTCGTTGCATCCCAGCCAAGGACACGGGACACGGCTTCCTCTCAGGAAGGTAAACAATTGCAAATAAGTAAAATAATAACTGCTGGTCCTCTGCCCATTGGCTTGTCATTGTGCCACATTTCGTCACTGAACAAAGAACGCTAACAGTGTCTTCGTATGCTAGTTACTCACTGAATAAAAGACAGTGTTTCCTAAAACGAATCACAGTAATAAAGACTTAAAATCCAAAATGATGAAAAAAAGCTTGCGTAAAATTAAAAATCTCAGATCATAAAATATTTGCAATATATTCAGTGAACTGCTTTTTGGTGTTTTATAAGAAACATCTAATATATGGAGTACTGTACGTATACATTACAACGTTCATGAGTAAGGACCATAAGTAACTAGCACAAAATACTTAAACAATATAGCTCCTCATCACCCGATAGATACATTAAATAGCTTTCATATTCGGCAATAACTATGAAAAATATGGTATACAGAGTCATAGGGGTATGGGTTTGGAACTTCCCCACAATCACGCAGTCCCATAAGATAAGATATCCTTTGTCAATTTCAAGGGGAAATTGTTTGATTCTGAAACACTAAGATCAATTCTGAGACACCAATGCATGTCTTTGGACTGTGGAACTAAAACATGAGGAGACAGATCGTGAACATGGATAGTCAACAAGTGAAAAGCTGGGGAAGGAATCAATCCCATAACACTGGAGAGGCTGAAGCTGTAGTGCAATGGGTCTGGAACCTATCCCAGCTGGAGCAGTGGGCCTGGAGCCGATCCTAGCTGGAACAGTGGGCATGGAGCCGATCCCAACTGGAGCAGTGGGCCTGGAGCCTATCCCAGGTGGAGCAGTGGGCCTGGAGCCGATCCCAGGTGGAGCAGTGGGCCTGGAGCCGATCCTAGCTGGGTCAGTGGACCTCTAGCCTATCCCGGCTGGTGCAGTGGGGCTAGAGGCAATCCTAGTTGGAGAAGTGGGCCTGGAGCCGATCCCAGCTGAAACGGTGGGCCTGGAGCTTATCCAAGCTGGAGTACTGGGCCTGGAGCCTATCCCAGAACCATAGGCCCCGGACACCCTATATGGCATGCCAGCCCAACACAGGGAATCCTTACACAATGTAATATAGACAAGGGATCACAGAAATTCTTGAGACACTTAATTCAGTAAAAAAATACTGCAAATGTATTGGTTTTATAACATAGATCAGAGCTTTCTGTGTACGCAGTATGCCTGATCTCCACGTGATCACACGGGTTTCCTCTGGGCTCTCCTGATCCCTCCCACAGTCCAAAAACAAGCACTTAGGTGAACTAATGTCCCTAAATTGCCCATAGTGTGTGATTCTGTTGTAACGGATGACTAGCAATGGATTGGCGCCCCCTCCAGGGTGTACACCCCAACCTCGTGCCCCCTGTAGCATTATATAACGTAATCAGTGCATATTTGGTAAATGTTAGTGTGTAATTTGTTTATATTATAATGAATTTTACAATTCAGGTGTGTTTTCTTCTTGCCTTCCTTCCCATTATTTTCGTGTTGTTGCAGGTTTCCTCCTGGTATCCACACCAATTCCCTCTGAACACCTGCTGCTGCCCAAGTGGATCCATGGGTCTGAATGGGCCTCAGTGTGCAAAAGCGTGTTTGCAAAGGGACTGGCATTTCCCGCAGGACTCACCCTGCTACACGCCCCAGTGCTTCCTGGGATTGGCTCCAGATAACCGTGACGCTAATGGGAAAAGCGGCTTTCAAAAACAGATTGATGGAGACTTTATGCGGTTCATTAAAGCACGCTGCAATTAATTAGCTGCATTTTAAACATCTTGTTTGCTGAATCAGACCCCCAATGTAGGTTTTCCAGTCACAATGTGTGGCTTATGTGTTTGTCTGAATGATCTTTCACAATTAGCAATGGCTTCCGTTTGTTTCCCACAAGAATGCCATGCTTTTTGGATCGTTTGATTGGTTGGTTCTGTTCTCATTTATACTGCGAGAATTGACAGTATTTTGGAGTACATGGTGTATTGGAATAGCCATTTTTTTATTATGATTAATATATTGATATACACAAATATCTTTTTAAATATAATGTAGTCACGCAAAAATTATTATTCACAACTATGCTGTTCACACACCCCTTCTCAAGCTGTTTTTACAATCTCTCGAATTCCAAGCAACCCTTATCCAAATGTCAACAGGTTTTGTTAGTAGGTGCAGAAGTCAAGGTTCTTCTGGGGAACTGAGCCCCAGGGGGTAGTGCTTAAAAAATCAACACAATGTAAAACTTTCTAATTACTGCTTCCTAAAAACATAAAAAGTCAATGGCTGAAAATGAGAAATTAACCTGACATTAAACAGAATGACAGAGTACAGACAGACACTCCCAGGGACTCCACTGCAGATTTCGGGCCCCATGACAGCACATCATATCGGGCCCCCAACCCAGAACTATCCAATTATGTTCCAAATTTTTTAGAGCCCCAGTTACTCAGGGGCCCTTGGAACTGTCCTGACCGCCTCC